TGGCTCCTTATCCTCGTTTCTTTTTTTAAATTATTATTTCTCCAAACATCTTAATGAGTTTCCAGCTCGATGAATTTGTCACAACACAAAACGTTGAAAACGAAATCTACAAAAAAATTACAAAACTTTTTCGTGTCCTTGTTCATTTTGAAGTTTGTTAATCAACTTTTGTTTCTTCGTCAACAGATTTGTTAATCAACTTGCCCCACTCTCGTCTTTTTGTTTTTACTTTCAATAACAAATTCAAGACTTTTTTTTTTGTTCCCAATAATCTTCTTATAGTCTTAATTTCGTTTTGGTCAAATTAATAAGTGTAAACACATAGTTTATTGAGGTGATGTTAATGTTTGTGTTCTTGAAGCTTTTTCCAAAAACACATCTCACTTTTTTCTTTCCTTGAAAATTTTCAAGATTAGTTCAAATTCTTGATACCCTTTTGTCAAATTTACAATTTTTCCTCTTCTCTGTTCTTGGATTATCTTCAGATTCATCCTCTGTTCTTCGTTGGCTATGGTAAACCTAAAGTTGTTTACTTTATGGGTTTTAGCTATTCTCTATTCTTTACGCGTCTCCTCTGCTTCTGAAAGTTTCTTCATCAACTTTGGTTCGCCGGAGAATGTAACAGTCAACAATCGAACCTTCGATTCCGACAACAATCTTGGTCGGGAAATCTTCGATTCCACTCGAGCAACCTCTGTCAACACCACCGATACGAACTCCCTTCCTAAAGGAGACGAATCGACTCTGTTTCAGACCGCGAGAGTATTCACCGAAGAATCAAGATTCCGATTTCCGATCGAACAACACGGATGGTTCTTGATTCGTCTTTACTTCTTACCCTTCCTTTCGTCTTCTCGAGATCTAACCACAGCTAGATTCTCTGTTTTGGCTCAGAACTTCACTCTGATCAGAGATTACAAACCCTCCAAGACTTCTGTTGTTAAGGAATACAGTTTAAACGTTTCTACAAATAATCTTTCGCTCGATTTTCGTCCCGAAACCGGTTCTTTCGCCTTCGTAAATGCTTTAGAAGTTTTCAGGATTCCAGAGAATTTGTTACCTGAAGAAGCAGGACTCATTGGTACACAGAAGAATCTCAAGCTTAGGACTCATGCTATGGAGACTGTTTCTCGAGTTAACATGGGGAATTTGAGTGTGTCTCGTGATCAAGATAAGCTATGGAGGCAATGGGATTCGGATTCTGAGTATATCGTTGAAGCTCATTTCGGTACACCGGTGATGAATCTCGAAGCAGTTAACTTCAGTGCTGGTGGAATAAAAGATGACATTGCTCCGGTTTACGTCTATGGAACCGCTACGAGGCTGAATTCAGAGGACAATCCAACTACAAACGCTAATCTAACTTGGACGTTCAAGATCGAGCCTGGTTTCGATTACTTTGTTCGGTTTCACTTCTGTAACATTATAGTTAATTCTTTTGGAAGCAAACGTCAGATAGTATTTGATATTTTTGTGAATTCGGAAAAAGTTGAGTCCATTGATATGACTGAGGTTGCAAATGGTACACTTGGAGCTCCTTATTTCGTCGATGCAGTGATGCGGAAGGCCAGAAGCAGAGAAGGCGCATTGAATCTATCTGTTGGTGGAGTTATGGATGTTTCGTATCCGATTTCTTTTATTAATGGGTTTGAGCTTTTGAAGCTAAGCAACGATAAGCGGAGTCTTGATGCTTCGGATGTTGTTTTCCCGGATGGTTCTTCGCGTAACAAGAGTTCGAATCCAAGTATCGGATTGATAGCTGGATTATCTGCAGCTTTGTGTGTTGCTTTACTGTTTGGTGTGGTTATGTTTTCATGGTGCGTCAGGAAAAGAAGAAGAAGAAATAGACAAATGCAGACTGTTCATTCTAGAGGAGATGAGCAAATTAGGAAGAACGAAACAGGTGAAAGCTTAATCTTTTCGAGCTCAAAGATCGGTTATCGATTCCCTTTGGCTTTAATCAAAGAAGCTACGGATGATTTCGATGAAAGCTTAGTGATTGGAGTTGGTGGGTTTGGTAAAGTTTACAAAGGAGTGTTGAGAGACAAAACCGAGATAGCTGTAAAACGCGGTGCTCCACAATCTCACCAAGGATTAGCGGAATTCAAGACCGAAATCGAAATGCTTTCTCAGTTCAGACACAGGCATTTGGTTTCTTTGATCGGATATTGCGATGAAAACAGCGAAATGATCATTGTCTATGAGTATATGGAGAAAGGAACGCTTAGAAACCATTTGTATGACTCGGATAATCCGAGGTTGAGCTGGAGACAGAGGCTTGAAGTATGCGTTGGTGCAGCTAGAGGGCTTCACTATCTCCACACTGGTTCAACAAGAGCAATCATACACCGCGATGTGAAATCGGCTAATATTCTGTTGGATGAGAATTTCATGGCCAAAGTTGCAGACTTTGGATTGTCTAAGACAGGTCCGGATCTTGATCAGACATATGTAAGTACCGCGGTCAAAGGAAGCTTTGGATATCTAGATCCAGAGTACTTGACCAGACAACAATTGACTGAGAAATCCGATGTTTACTCTTTCGGTGTTGTTATGCTCGAAGTACTATGCGGGAGACCGGTCATTGATCCTTCGCTTCCGAGAGAGGAAGTCAATTTGATCGAATGGGCGATGAAACTGGTGAAGAAAGGGAAATTGGAAGAGATCATGGATCCTATTCTTGAAGGGAAAGTGAAGCTTGAAGAGCTGAAGAAGTACTGTGAGGTAACAGAGAAGTGTTTGGCTCAAAACGGAATTGATAGGCCAACAATGGGAGACTTGTTGTGGAACCTAGAGTTCATGCTTCAGGTCCAAGCGAAAGACGAGAAAGCAGCAATGGTGGATGATAAGCCAGAGGCGAGTGTCGCGGGCTCAACCGTGCAGTTTAGTGTGAATGGAGTTGGAGATATTGCAGGGGTTTCAATGAGCAAAGTTTTCGCGCAAATGGTGAGAGAAGAAACGCGATAAAAGATTGATCTAAAGAAGAGTACTATAGTGTTATTTGTACAGGAGGAAAAGGAGAGAGAGGATAGTACTGGTTTATACATGATTGTAGAAAACTCAAAAGTGTTTCTTATAATGGACATATTGAGCTTCTCTGTGTTTGTATACACTGCAAATCCAAACAGATTGTTATACCTACTTTACTATATACAATATTTCATCGGTTTGATCCCTTTCCAGTTTCCATTATTGTTTCAGCTTTTTGGTGTTTGGTTTAATATCTTTTGCAACTAGTAAAAAACTAAATATATGTTGAGATGGTCAAATATATATCGGGAGAACGGCCAATTCCCCTAGGAACTCACTAGTTGCTGATTATTTATAAAAGAACTTTGAACCCATGTCAAAAACTACATGAACTAAGTATTTTTTTGAAATAACCACATAAAGTAATAAAATGTGGTGAATTCCTACAAACCTGTTAACGGATTCAATTTTCCGTCAATAGTTGATGAGGTGGATTACAAGTGGCAAACGGATTGGTTTTGGTATAGAGTTGACCGATATATATTTTTTTTTAAATCAGAAGTTAAAACGACGACGTTTTAGAATTGGGGAAAAATAAAATTAGGGTTGCGTCATTCTTTTGTTTATCTCGTTTGGGTTTTGAGAGTTAGTAAAAAAGTGGAGAATCATTGATAGAGAGATAGAGAGATGGAGAGTTTGAGAGACAGGGAGAATTAGGTTTCTTTGTGTGTTTCGCATCAAATCGACCAAAGAAGAAAAATAATGGAGCCCATGTAAACAGACGATCAAAGAAGAAGAAGGATGTGTCATAAGATCAATCAGATTTTATGGAAGGATCAAGTCAACAAATGCAAATCCAAGTGGTAGACTAAAGTAAGCCTCTATTAGATTTGTTCTATATGTTTTGGTTTTATGATTTGGTTTGTGTTACAGGTTTTAAAGTAAGCCTCGATTCTTTGTCTTCTTGTTTGATTTGTTATATGTGTTGGTTTTATTTGGTTTCCGTTACAGATTTTACGTTTTGCCTCTGTTCTTTTTCTTCTTGTTTGATTTGTTATCTTCTTGTTTGATTTGTTATATGTGTTGATTATAATTGAGTCAAGTGGTTAGTGTTCTGTAGGGGCTAAGAGAGGGAAGGAGGTGGCGGATTTTGAGGATGATGATATGATGTATATTGTTGTTTTTAAGTAGAATTATGTTGCGGATTTGATGAACACCCTGTTGATATACTAAGATGATATGATGTATTTTGGATTCAAGTAATATGATTTGGTTTTCGATTTTTGTTGTTCTCCACATCTACAGTGGGTCACACATAATTGTCTTGACGATTTCCCCCATATCTCTTCCTTCTCATCTCTTGAAATCGACACAAAACAAAAGAAAAATAAGAACCCTAATTTTTGATTTTTTTACCC